TTTGTGTGATTGGATGCAATAGATGTGAAGGTGGGTGATGAACTCCTTGTTGATGGAGGAATGGTTAGGTTCGTAGTGACCGAGAAGATTGGTCCAGATGTCATCTGCTGCTGTACAGATCCTGGATTGTTGCTGCCTCGTGCTAACGTTACTTTCTGGAGGAATGGGAGTCTTGTACGAGAGCGTAATGCTATGCTGCCTACACTTTCTTCTAAGGTTGATGCTTTTGACCAACTGATTGTTTAGGGAAAATGTGGGAGACCCTTATGGAGGGAGACATTTAATAAATATGTAATAGATCCTCCCATAGGTCATGTGGTGCAAATGATTTGATTTTTGAGTTGTCTTGTGTTATGATCATTATTGGGAAAATTTACAGTGTTAAGATTTAAATTCTTGCAGGATTGGCTGGATATTGATTTTGGAATTGCAGAAGGCATTGATTTCATTGCAGTATCATTTGTCAAGTCAGCTGAAGTGATTAAGCATCTAAAGAGTTACATTGCTACACAATCTCCAGAAAGGTAAACTGTATATTTTTGTAGCACTTTAGTTGTATATTATAAGTGCATCATGTATTTCTTTTCTCAGCTCAAAACCTCAAGTACCTTGGTTAGCCAACTGTGCACCTTCAGCTATGATTATGGTTTCTAGAGATTGACATTGCAATGTAATCTAGTTTGCAAGCCAATTTACAAGAAATATAAACAGTTATAGTTATCATATTAAAGGATACCTGAAGATAGGCATGATATATGTGTAATTTTGCAACTTTTCTTACTAACTAGTAGCAAACTTTCAAATTTGCCAAAAAAGTATCTTAGATTCCAAACATTAGTTGGGAGAAACGTCTTTTATGATACTTCAGTTAAACCCAAGGAAGCATTCAATTTCTTGCATGCTCTTATTACTTTTTTTATTTGAAGAGTATGTTATCTTTACATTGTAGCATGGTTTATTGTTTATTATTATTCTTGTATATGTTGTTTCTTTGCTGCAAATATTATATTACATTGTAGGTTTCTTATGTCACTTTGTCTTTTATTAAATAAATTAAAACCATGATGTAAGTTAAATGATCAACTATATCCCCATCTTTGTCATTAAAGACATGTTGAATTCCCCTCACTCTCCTCCATCTTAAGGTTAGTCATATGTTGGCTATCTTGTCGCCATCCATTGTTCTCATGCTATTCTTTTCCATCCATCATATCCTTAACTACACTTATTTATTTTTTAAGAAAATTATATTAATTCGTAGCCCTATCCTTCATTGGTGCAAGGGGTTACCTCTTTTATGATGTAGTAATAAGTTTTTTTCTGTAACTTAACATTTGTGAGAGTTCTTTGTTTTATTCTTCCTTACATCATATGCTGTTCTATGTTTGTATTACAATTAATTTTGAAAAAAAAAAAACTCTTTTTCGGTTCTATGTGGATGAATTAGTTTCAAATAAGAAATGCTACAGATCGCAAATTTATGTAGTCTTATTATTAATTTATGGTTATTGTTGCATATTTGATTTTCTCATTTATTTCCAAATTGACTGAAGCACTTGCAAATTCTATTGAACTGTGATGACTATATCTGTCCAACCCTGCAGCAACATTGCCGTCATTGCCAAGATAGAGAGTATTGACTCTTTGAAACATTTGGAAGAGATCATTTCAGCATCAGATGGAGCTATGGTTGCCAGAGGTGATCTGGGTGCTCAGATACCATTGGAACAGGTCCCATCAGTTCAGAAAAGGATTGTTGAGCTTGGACGGAAGTTTAATAAACCTGTTATTGTTGCATCTCAACTGCTTGAATCCATGATTGAATATCCTATACCAACGAGAGCTGAAGTTGCTGATGTTTCTGAGGCAGTTGGACAGCAGGCAGATGCTTTAATGCTTTCTGGTGAATCAGCCATGGGTCAGTACCCTGAGAAGGCATTAGCTGTCCTTAGAAGTGTTAGTTTGAGAATTGAGAGGTGGTGGAGGGAGGAGAAGCACCATGCTGCTTTGGAACCTCTAATTATGGCATCTTCTGTTTGTGGTGGTGTTCCAGAAGAAATGTGTAATGCAGCTGTAAAAATGGGTAAGCACTCATCATCTTCACCTCTAAGCTATTTAAATCAATAATAACTTTTTATCTGCTAATTTCTTGCTTAGATTGGTCAGCAATAAATATGCTACAAAGAAACACCAAAACATCATGGGAAAGCATCAATTTATTTGACTTGCATCAATTTAGAGAAAAATCACAGAATTATTCAAAATTATTCTCTTCTTCTTTACTCATAGTTTTTTGGTTATTTATAATTCCTTATGTAATATGGCACTCATGGTAATCTTTCTTATTTCCTAAACCACTAAATGCATATGATTCTTTTTTATTTCATTGACCATATTGAACCTACTTATTATGTTGCTTTATGTGTATGACAACTGGCAAGAGTTATTTGAATATTCCTCTAGGTCTCTGACAATTAAATAAAAAAGTCATGTTAAACTTACAAAATATCTAAACTTTGTATCCGAAATGATATGAGGCTGAGTTAGTATATAATTTCAACACTTACCATATCATTTCTTCATTGATGTAGTGTGAGAAATCAATTGACGTATCACTTCTAATCTAAAATGGGATACATACTTTAGTATTATTGTTAAGTACAATTAGCCATGTGTAACATTAACTTCTAAGAATGCCGAGTCAAACCTTCTGGTGTTTTACTAGTTGATTGAGCAGAAACTATGTCCCAATACTTCTAAAAATTGGACAAACTGGTATTAAGGTTTGATAATACAGATAAGATTTTCTCAGATTTTGTGTACGCTTACTTTTGTTTTACTTTGAAAGTTCTAATTTATGATGCTTTGGTCGTTGTATTAATTATCTGGCATGAATGTTTTCCCATGTTTTTCAGCCAATAAACTGAAAGCAGATGCACTTTTTGTTTACACAAAAACGGGACACATGGCATCTCTACTGTCCCGTAGTCGACCTGATTGCCCAATCTTTGCATTTACTACAATGCCATCCGTGCGAAGGCGCTTGAACTTGCAGTGGGGCTTGATGCCTTTCTCCCTCAGTTTGTCTGATGACATGGAGAGCAACCTCAACAGAGCTTTCTCCTTGCTTAAAGCAAGAGGGATGATCAATTCTGGTGGCCTTATCATTGTTGTCTCTGATAAGTTGCGATCGATTCAAGTGATTAATGTTCCCTGAACCAGAACATCTCCTGCATTCTACTTAAACGGTCGTTATACTCTTCTTTGTCAGTTTACATTTAAAGTTGGCACATGTCGTATGTTCATTCATTTAGGTTAGCAAGTCATTCATATTTTGGCAGGGTAAAAGGAATCACCCCTGTCAGGAGTTAATTCTTTCTCAGCCTCAACATGGCGTGTACCATGAGAGTGATGAGCAGGAGCAATAATTCTCTCTGTGTTCCTTTGCTGTAACACTATTTGCTTAGAAGTTCATATTAGTGGGAGATATATTAGAAGCTCATATCTATTATTTTAGAAAGGGGAAGTGAATATTTAGAATCAATGACAATAGGGTTTTCAAGTATAGTACATTTTGCTGTAACAACAACTTGAACTTTGCGGGTACCGGTGTTGATACCGGTATCTTTTGATTTTCTTAATTTGCCATGGTTATATATTTATATACATTTTTCTTGTGTATTTCTGATATTGATGATCACATTGGTGGAATAAAAAACATAGTATCAGTATATTTGCCCTTTAATAATTTATCGTACCCAGTTGATGGAACCTGACCTGCAAAATGCAAATAATATTCTAGTGGTGGTGGTGGCCCAGGAAATCTTCAAGATGTTCAAATCTTGATCCTCGTCCTATACAAGAAAGCCCCTTTACTGCAACCAAAAGTTCCAATGCAAACAACCATCAGCATGTTAAATCTCCGTACATGTTTGTTCCCTTCCGGAATTGTATGGTTCACCGAGAAAAAAAGCATTTAACCCTTCAAAAAAGTATAGTAAATTTTGTAAGAATTATATTTGATCAAATTTCTTTTTTTTTTTTCTTTTTTTTTTGTTAATGGGTGTGTTCGGGTTAGTTTGTACGTATTTCGACTAATCTTCTGAAGTTTTGAAGTTAACAACTAGATAAACTTTCTAATGACTACTTATTAACAATCAAGGGTTAATGATCAAGTAAACCCTCAAATTGTCACCTATTAATAACCAATAAAATCGAATTTAAGACCTTTTAAGTAATATATTTCAGAGTCCTTATTGTCTTACCTGGTCACTCGAGAGGTGGTTTGTATCAAATGTTGTTGCATGATGGCATTTGACTTTGCTAGTGAAGCTATCATGGAGTTGGAAAAATAAAAAACATAAACCAAAGATTCCGTAAACCAGAATTCAAAAGAGATGGGCCTAATAAAATGGGACCATTACCAATGTCATTTCGTCTCATGTTATTTGACAGCCAGTGAAAAATCCAACTTGGAAAAGGAATAAAATCCATGAGAAAAAGGTTAACCTAAGAGTAGCTCTTGCCCCACATCTAATAAAGCTAGCTATAGAGGAATAGAGACCTCCCGACTTTAATTTGTTGCTATCAAACCCAACAAACACACCCTCTGAAAACATTTCTAGTATTGCCTACCACCTAAAACCAAGTACTTGAAAGTTGAAAGGGATGAAAATGAGAGAAAAGTAAAAGCTACAGAACATAACCCATTACTTCTCTTATGTAAATAGATTTTTGTGTTAAAGAAAAAGTATGCAGGAATAAAGGCCAAGCAAGCTATGCAGATAAAAGAAAGAGAAGGGTTTTTGGATTGAATTGAACATTTGCTTCTTGTGGTGGGTCACATGGCAAAGACATTTGGGATTTTATAGCAAAGCATTGAGTGGGATTTGAAAGTTGGTAAAAGGACAAGAGTAATTAATTGATGGGTGTAGGGCAAAACCATCATTAACTTTCTCCTCAATTCCAACATCAAATTAAAAGATAAGTAGATTTTGAGGCCACTTTTCTTTTGGCGGTTTAGGGGATAATAGACAGATTTCATCGCTGAGCCAATATGTTATAGCCAACAGAAATATGAAAAACCAGAGACTTTCGAATACTTTGATAGGAACTCTTGAATGTATTACTCAATAAACCTTGAGTTTAAATCTCTTATTAGTTATTAATAGGGGTAATCATTGAAACTCTTACCCAATTAATAGTTTCAGGGTCATAGGGGATTAACTAAGGTGTGTGTAAGTTGATTTGGACACTCTTGATCATAAAAAAAAATAATAATAATAATCAGGGGTTTTATATTCAAAATTTTAGTATTAAAGCATCTTCAATGGTGTTCTTTATTTTAAAGAGCATATTTCATATAAATAAAGAACATCTTCATTAATTTCTAAATATAAATAACAAAATTTTTATTCAAATTCAATGGATTCTTTAAATTTAATGAAGATATTCTTTATTTAAAAAAAAAATACTTAATAAGAGAGAGAATTAATAAATAAAATACATAAAAATTTATAATTTATTAATTAAAACTATGATAGAGATTAAAATTTGACTATTTGTATGTGGAGAGTCGTACTTATTCTTTAAATTATATTTAAAGAATAAAAAGTATGTTAAACTCTTATTTTTATGAATAAACTTTTTATAATAAAGAATTCGGATCATACAAAAAGTCTTTTGAAGATTCTTCTATATCAAACACAATTTCAAATATTATAATAAACCAAATCGATATGTTATTAGTTGTTTTTCTAGTATTGAAATGTCGAAAAACATGTACACCCATCAAAGGAAAAAGAGAGGAAAATATAATTTAATCTTTCCTTTAGACTAATACAAAAGAAAAAAGATAAAGTGGAGATGGAAATCTATGGGCAATGTTTTAAGGTAAGGTATAACTACAAAAGGGTGTTTGGTGGTAGGGATAAGATTGAGCTTGTCTATGAAGCTATGTCTATTCTAACATAGTACTAATTCTATTCTACTACCCAAAGCTTGTGGATGGCATCATTCTTTCTCATAATAACGCTGCCCCACAAACAATTTTTAATTTAATTAATTTATTTGTTATGCTCCACCTAAATCTATAATCCCCTTTTTTTTTTCATTTAGTTCAATAATAATCACTCAATTGCCACATAATGGATGAATCATGCATAATCTACTTAATTGAAAAGCAATCAATGTTTTTTACTATTTTTGATTTGTTGGGCGAGTGCTGTTATTTAAATCTAAAGTAAATCCCATTTTATTATCAATTAAAAATTATTTAAATTATGTTAAAAAAAAAAACTTATTCTTATCATTCCAATCTCATTATATATTAATTAATTAAGTATTTAAAAATATAGATAATTATATTTTAGATTTTTGAAATATAATATAGAAAAGGTTCTATAATAAGAGAAAATTCATGTGTATTTACTATTTAATGATGATTTATATGATTTTAATTCATTATTGTATCAAATTATTACTACTTTTTTTGGGCGGACGAGAGTCTTTTCTAGAAGGCCCACCATCAAATAAGGTGTATTTAATGGGGCCCAAAAATCCAATTTGCGAGGCCCAAATTATTACCATTCATTCTCTTGTCCGGTCTGAATGTCTCCGGCATCATAGTTAAATTACATTTTGCTCCTTCATGTTCACCTTAAGTAAATAAAGTCTAGTAGAATTTTTAAATAATGTACTTGGATCTTTGTCGTTACCAAATGTTTGAAGTATCTTTTGTAAAAGTCTAAAGTACCCCTAATATGTTGATTATTATTAATATAATTGTTCTAAATTTTTTTTAATAGAATTATCAGTTAACAATTGTTTATTTTTACTTTTATAATTTTCAATGTTATTTATATAAGATAGGAATAAAGATATATTAGATTTTTACAATAAAATAAAATAAAATTAAATAGTAGATAATTTGGCCAAAAAAAGCTGAGTGCTTCTTTTAGATTTCACTAACCTAGCTTTACTCAACCTGAATATCAAGGATCAAAATGTATTTAACTCCTAACATTGTCTTCATAAGACACTTGATTGAATTAAGCCTCGATGTTTGATAACCGGAAGTGATCTTAGTGTTTTGACGACCAAAAATTGGTTAGATTGGACACTAAATACAATATTATATAACTTACATGAGATAATCTAAACATCGATGATTAGCAATTTTAAAAACTAGCAACATATACCATTGTTTAATGTGATGGTTCGACCACGACAATAGAATAAGATTGTAAAACAGTTGTATGTAAGTATGTCTCAAAAAAAAAAAAAAACTATCCACCGTATAGTATTAGATCGATGAATACAATCCTTTATATTTTCTTGAATAAATGTAATTATTGAGTTGATTGATTTGACATTGATTTTCATAAAAAAAAAATTGTATAAAAAAGAAAGATAAAAAACAAATTTGAATTATACAGAATGAAAAAGATGTTTGTAGAGAAAAACAAAATTCAATTATAATGTAGAAATTTCATGAACATTCAAGGGTCTAGGTTGTCGATTTTCACTAGATTTTTCGGCAATTTCCATTAAGGTAAAAGTCTATAGTCATTTAATTGTAATTGGGTAAATTGTCCATAAGAATTCAATCACTAAAACAGTGATAGCAATTTGGAAATTGATTTTAGAAGTGTCTAATCCTTGCTTCATTTTCCAAATACTTTTATAAACTTTAATATTACCAAATGCATGATGCTATAATGACATTATTAGAAGTAGTTATGTTATTTTTTGAGTTAATTTCAACTTATAAAGTAAGGGTTAAGTTTGTGGTTTACTCCCACAAAATTTAGTATCGGTGTGTTTTCTTCTCTCCAAATATTGTGGTTCAAAGAGATTCTTATTCTATTTGATCAATGGGATATTTGGATTATTTTTATTTCAATTATTTAACATATAATTTTTTTTATCTTTTGTGTATTTTTTGTGAATTTTAGAGTCCTTTAAATGATTTCATGGGTGTAAAATATAATAAGTAAAAAATAAATCACAAATATCATGTGAAAAAAAAATCTATGAGCGTAAAGTAGCAACTGGGGCACCTTTAATTCAACCTGAATTGAATTTGATGCTCAATTTGTAAACTATAATTTTTTATTGGAAAATGTAACATTCATTAATTCTAATCATATAGTTGAGCTTGACCCCAAATTTTCTAACTTTTTTCTTTTTGTCACAAAAAGAAAGGGAAATCATGACAAAATTTAAAGCATTAACTAGCGAAATGAGATACCCATGTTCTTATAGTTGTAAAGAGGACTCATTTTTGACAAATTAATTTTACTTTATATTGTGGACCTAAATTTCACACCCATCTAATCAAACAAGAGAAGATCATAATTAATTTTGCTTTATAATTTATTACAACTTTTATCTAGACCAAAAGAATAGGAATACTGAAGAAAAACGTGTCTTTTTATAAAGAAAATAATAATAATAATAATAATTTTGTTTACACTTTAATGGAAATTTATCCATGATATATTTATTAAAAAAAAATCCACCTCTAAAATACCCAAAATTATGCACAACCAACTTTCTTCTTATTATTTCTTTTATGTATTTACAATAAAAAAAATACCCAAAATTATAAATTAAATTGTCACATCCAAAAATTAAATAAAAAAATTAAAAAGAAAAGAAAAAAGAAAAATTGGGTGCAATCATGTCAATAGATTTTATCAACCAACTTTCCAAATGAAACCGCGTTTCTTTTGGAGCTACAGGGACCAATCAATAACACTTCCCCTTAAGTCTTCCCACTCCACTATTAATTCAATTTAAATTTAAATTTAAATTTAATCCCTAATTTAGTCTCAGCCTCCACTTCACGGATTATTTCATACGGCTTTGAATAATACTCAAATGATCTTTGGAAAATATTATATATTTTCAAAAATTATCAAAAACCTCTCATAACTATTGAAAATCGTCTTGAATAAAAAAGTGTTCGATAATTTCTAATAATTATTAAGATATTTTTGATATAACCATTGAAAACCGTCTTGAATAAAAACATGTTCAATAATTTCTGTTGATGCGTGATTTTGGCACCAACCAATCGACACGTGTGCAACGTTGATTGGGCAAGGAACGCACGTGAATAGGGATTATGAATACGAAATAAATGCTATCAGAGTTTTTAAAGTGGTTCGGATGCTAGGGTAGCAAGTCCTACGTCCACTGATTTGTATTGATATTGATAGTGTCGGTCAGGTCGCTAAAGCGGACTGACTTATAAATGATTGGATAGTCTATACAATGCTTTGTTTAGAGAGAGAGAATACAAATGTAAAATTGTCCAATCCCTTTAATGAAGGGGTCTTCCTCTTCTTATACCCAGTTGAATGTCCGTAATCATCACTAAATCCTTGGGTTGGTGTGATTGTCAGGACCTAATCTGATTTTACGTCCCATTACCCATTTTCCAAGCCGATTTCACGTGATTTGGAGCAGGCTAGCGGATACGTGGGAGCACCAGGGCGTTTGGCAGACCTGACGTGCGCTTACCGTTCTGACGGGAGCAAGCCACGTTTCATCACGCAACTCCACGTCAGCCTTTGATTTCTTAGTCATAACAATTTCTAATAATTATTAAGATATTTTTGACATAAACACATCTCTGTATCTCGTCCACCACTCACAAAAGATACCCAACAATAAATTAAATAATTTTTTTTTTCATTTAATCAACGGTCTCATATTAGCTGATAAATTAAAAGAATTATTGGACCACTCTTATTACGTTTCATTTTTATTACGGATTATTAAATTAAAAAGAACAAGGAATTTAAATTTTGAAGTATCCAACCGTTTTCATATCCAGTTATCCGACACGTGTCTACATCAAATCTGCTCAATTCCCAACGCATAACGTTCTAGTCCTACTAAACGACGTCCCAACAACGCGTTTCGTGAAAGAAAGATAAAACATAAAATTCCTTGTCTTTCCCAAATTAGCCCTCCTGCATTGTAGTTACAGGTCCCCCTTGTACGTGACAACAAATACGCATTAGTCATTGCATGTGGACCCCACCTACCACTCACCCTTCATCCGTAAAAATCCACCGCCTCATTTTTACTTATTTACTTTTTACCGCTACACGAATTGACCATCTTATCCACCTGTCCGCTTGCCTCAGCGACACGACGTTGAGTGTTTGACTCGTGTTAATTACCTGCCTCGAGTGTCAATGTGGGCATTTTCGTCAAAGCGACTAAACTAAACTTGGAAGTTTGAACATTTTAAATTACTGTACTAACCTTTTCTGCACTTCAACTACTCGTCAAGATATAAATCCGTTTGGTATTTATCCTCTCGTAGAAAGAGGGTATTTTAGTCAAATTGTATCCGCACGTAAATTTAAGCAAAAAGTTTTTGTTTTCTCGAATCTGCCCTTGCCACGATTGCGAAACGGTTTTAAAAGCCTCCGTATCACGAGGGAGGTGAATCCACTAGCACGTACTTCGGCAAAATGTTAAGGGTAATTTCAGAATTAGAGTTAGCCTTATCGTCATCACGCCATAACGTGGGAAAGTGTGAAAGAAGCCACGAGGAGGACCAGTTTTATCCCTTGACACGTACCCTGTGCACAACAGATTCTGTGTTCTGCCACGTAGGATGAACACGTGGCAAATTAGTACATGTCAGCACTACTCACCGTCCTCCATATAAAGCCCACACCATCTGCTCCGCTTTCTTTATCGTTCCCCCGCTAAAGCCAAAACCACACACAATCGAAGCTCTCAATTCCATTTTATCACTTTCTTTCCACTTTGTCTTTCTGTCTCTCCTCTTTTTCTCGTTCAATTTCTCGTCACCGGTCCGGCGAAAACTAGCCGGACGTTGAAACTCTTGTCCGGAAAAAATGGAGGCTTCAGCGACCGGTCGTTGTTTCAATTGCGAAAGCCAAAACGTCATGTTCTCGTCTCGTCACGTATTTCGGCAACTTTAACCGTATTTGAAACCCTAAGCAAAAGGGACTTTACTTAGCAGAGTTTCGAAGTTATTCCATGCTTTGTCTAGCAAATCAGAGGCATAATAGTATATAATAATCGCAGTTAAAAGGTACTTATTTTAGCTTAAGATTCTGGAATTTTGGGTAAACGCTTTGGATTTTGAAGAAACTTTGGGTTTCTGTGTAGATTCGGTTCGCTGATCTGGTTAAAAGAGAGAGATTGATTGTTTCGATGGATGTGTAGAGAGTAGAAGCCTCACTTTTTTTTTTTTTTTTTGGGTTTACTAAATTTTAAACTAATGTTTAGTTTTCTTTAAAGCATTAATAACCTTTCTTCGTTCTCGTATTTTGGAATTATAGGTGAAGAATTTAGGAGGATTAGTGTAGAGGAGTTTAGGGATTTTGTTCGATTGTGTAATTTTGGTTTATAAACTAACTACAAGTTTGTTAACTCAAGAAACAAGATTAGGTTTTGAAAAAATGGAGAAATTTTTATGTTTTTTTTGAAAGATCGGTCATTGTATTTCTTGATCGACGGTGATCATGCCTTTTCCGATGAAGATCCAACCAATCGACTCTCACACAGCAGAAGAATGGGTTCATTCCGAACCAGTAAAGCCGGTAGTGAAATCGAGACTCAAGCGGCTCTTCGAGCGCCAGTTTTTGAGAAATTCAGCCGCAGAAAAGGCTGGCGTCGTCGTTGAGGAGCCGCCGCTACATTTCAGCAAGGACAGCTCCAATGGTGGTGGCTTGGCTGACTTCGAGCCTAGCTCAGTCTGCTTGGCGAAGATGGTGCAGAACTTTATCGAGGAGAACAACGAGAAACAACAATCCGGCGCTGTCCGGTGTGGCCGCAGCCGTTGCAACTGCTTCAATGGCAGCTGTAACGACAGCTCTGAAGACGAATTGGACTCTTATTTCGGCGACTCCAACCTCGCTTCCTCTGGCGAAGCATGTGAAATTCTCAAGGTGCTAAAAGCAAACAAATTATAAATCAATCTTGTTGAAATCTTCTTCTTCTTCAGTGAAAAAAAATGTTTGATTTATTTAATTTTATATTGAATGGAACAGAGTTTGGTGCCTTGCGCGAGCGTTTGTGAAAGGAATTTACTAGCGGACACGGCGAAGATTGTAGAGAAGAACAAGATCTGTAAACGGAAAGACGATAATTTCAGGAAGATTGTGACTGATGGATTGTTGTCACTCGGATACGACGCCTCTATTTGTAAATCTCATTGGGATAAATCCCCCTCTTATCCCGCCGGTACTTTCTCTCTCTTCTGATTATACAAATACAAAACATATCTGTTTGTTTCCTCAGAAAATGTAGGAACGAAAAGGAATTGATTTTATCTTATCCTCAACCAAATAAAAAATTAATTTTGATAAATTGTTCTTTTGGAAACAGGAGATTACGAATACATAGACGTGATAATTCAAGGCGAGAGATTGATAATTGACATTGACTTCAGGTCAGAATTCGAAATAGCTCGGTCTACCAAGGCTTATAAATCTATTCTCCAAACACTGCCTTACATCTTTGTGGGTAAAGCGGATCGTCTTCAGAAGATTATAGGGATCGTATCGGAGGCGGCCAAACAGAGCCTTAAGAAGAAAGGAATGCATGTTCCTCCATGGAGAAAAGCCGATTACATCAAAGCCAAGTGGCTCTCTCCTCATCCGCGTGCACACGAATCCCATCCGGAAATCGAGAACAACCAGCCTCTGCAGGGCTTATCTGAAACTGAGTTTGAGGTGAGTCGTGGGGAGAAGAATAACAACGACAATAACTCGGTGGATGATGGTGAATTGGGAGAGTCCATGTTTGTTTTGTCTGAGAGTTCGGAGGAAGAGAAGAAAGTGAAGACGGTGGTGAAAGACTGGAAACCACCTGAAATTAAGCCCAAGAGTCTGCAGATTGGAGCTAGGATTGTGACTGGTTTGGCTTCAGTCATTGAAGATCATCAGCCATGAAAATTTTGGTGTTTTTTTTTTTTTTGTAATCTTCTTGAGATAAATCTAATATGGGTGTCATCATATACCACCATATAAATCCCCTTCTGCTTTTTATGTAAGGGTGTTTTTACTAATATCATCAATAAAATCCTCATATGAATAGCTAAATTGAAGAAATTCTTTATTTATTTATTTATTTATTTATGTTAAATTTAATATAGAAGAACAGAATTTGACGATGAAGATAGAAGAGAACTCGTGCAGTCTCGAGCAGTGCGAGGACCTACAATATCTATTTTTAAGGTAAATCTTGTCACATGGTTTTCTGATTAACCCTCTTTGAGGAATGAATGGAATGGTTTCAACTGTAGTCTTTTGAGGTGAGAATCTCAGTCAAAAATGGCCGCTCACAAGTTCATTTAGATTATACATTGCTCCAGATATGAAAGAATTAATTAATCCAATTCACCAATCTGCTCTTCATCATTTCATTAATTACTGGTAGGTAGAAATTTATTTGGGGCCGTTGAAAGAAGAAGTAACAAAAACTTTTACTTGTAACATAGGCAAAGTCACTTATGCTAACTACAAAATGCAGCGACTCGAAGCTTCCCCTTTTCAAAAGTCATAGGGGACTTCAATTTCAAGCAACAAACTTGGCTTTACAAATTACAATACTTTGTTTAACCATCAAATTCAGCTTTTGTCTTCATCACCTGCCTCAAGTTTAGAGTTCATTACATTGCCACCCCCTGAGTTTTGGTAGAAATAGTTTCTCCCCTCCAATTTTGCTTAAACCCCGTAAATGGATATCTTCTTTTTCCTCTCCAACTTTGTTAAAACCCACCAATATAGAATATTTTTTCCTTTAATTTTGCTGGACCATTAGATTCAACTTTGTGGGTGAAAATGTTAGTTTCTCAAAATTGTGGGGAAGTGTAATTATGCAAAACATAAAGAGTGACACGTAATAAACCCATTTTATTAAAATAAACCAATTAGATACCCATCTCTTTCTTCTCTGCTCCTCACCGAAAGCAGAACTTCTTGTTTACAACGAAACAATGATGCCATCTTCCTAAACTCTGAAACCCAGAAACCCAAAAATTATTATTATTATTTAAAGAAAAAAAAAAACTATTCTCATAGAGAATGCCGTTGCTCTCTCTTTAGCCTCAGCTTTTACTCTTTTATCTTTTTCTCACCCCTTCACCTAACTTCAACTTGTCCTCTTCTGCCTCTTTCTTAAGTTCTGGGTCCAAATTCTATCTGGGAAATTGTTCTTTTCAATTTTATTTTTCATATTCTAAACACAGGACAGAGCATCCCAGAACAATCATTGCTTCTGTAAAATTTAGTGACACTCTGTGTCTGTACTTATTTATGTATTATCGTAATAAAGGTGCTATCCATTTCTCTGAATTTAAAAAGGTTGCGTAGGGTCAGGNACAACGAAACAATGATGCCATCTTCCTAAACTCTGAAACCCAGAAACCCAAAAATTATTATTATTATTTAAAGAAAAAAAAAAACTATTCTCATAGAGAATGCAGTTGCTCTCTCTTTAGCCTCAGCTTTTACTCTTTTATCTTTTTCTCACCCCCTCACCTAACTTGTCCTCTTCTGCCTCTTTCTTAACTTCTGGGTCCAAATTCTATCTAGGAAATTGTTCTTTTCAATTTTATTTTTCATATTCTAAACACAGGACAGAGCATCCCGGAACAATCATTGCTTCTGTAAAATTTAGTGACACTCTGTGTCTGTACTTATTTATGTATTATCGTAATAAAGGTGCTATCCATTTCTCTGAATTTAAAAAGGTTGCGTAGGGTCAGGACACTCAGGAGAAGACGATAAGTATTGATGTGGCTGAATCACATTGTGACCCCCAATCTATCACAATGTTTTTTTCTTCTTTGCTTTGAAAATAAGTTTCCGACTCCTCCTTTTCAGTTCTATTTGACCAGATTTCACCATTAAAATTCCAGTTTTACCTAATTAATAAAAATTAGGTAAATTTGATGCTTTTGAATTGTTAGGGTGTGTGTATTTTAGGGAAATTCAATTTGAGAGATTTTAGGATTTATTTATATTTAATCGAAATATTTTAGTCTTTGGGTTAGGTTAGGCTTTCTTAATGTTATATACGCTAGATGAATTGGTAAGATTATCCTTTCCTGGTTAAGTTTGACATTTGAATTCGAAAAATGAGGGTAACATTGGGTGTTTCCAGAACTAAGGGAGAAAACGGTCACCTGATGATAGATTAAGGGGCAACATGTAATTCGATCTTAATAATAATTATAATAAGCTATTTGGTGGGGTCCTGTTTCTATTTTGTGATTAAAAAAAACAAAAAATTGGTCTAAAATTTTGACATTAATGTATTACTTTGTGAAAGTGCCCCACCACCTACTTTATTTAACTTTCTCTTAATCTGTTTACTTGTCCACAGAATATTTGGTTTGCCTGTGATTTACAGTTTGGACATTGCCCTCAAGTTTAGATACTTACATTTCTTTGTTTGCCTTCATTTTTCTTTTCTAAGTTTCATTTTTTCTCTATCTTATCATATTCATTTATTTTATGTTTGTCAACATAAAACATGTCATCCCATTTCATATTGACCTTTTTTTTTTTTTTTTTGGGTGAGGGAATTTATTAAAAGGAAAATAAAAAATATATAGTGCATGTATGCATAAAGATTAAAGAAAACATGTGCATAAAATTGGATTACAAATTAAGGAAATCCATATTTAGGATGGGCGAAATAAAATCATATAATTCTATCATTGATGGGAATTCAAATTCAAACATGTTGATGCGTGATTTTGACACCAACCAAATGCACATGTAAAATATTGAGCAGGCCCAGAGGATACACGTGAATATGAAAATGAGAGTAAATGTAATGGAAAACAGCGTTTAAAGTGGTTCAGATGCTAAGGAAGCGAATCTTACGTCCACTGATTTTTGTATTAATGATAGAGGTCAGGTTGCGTAAACAGACTGACTTACAAATGATTGTACAAGAGAGAGAATGTTGTATCTTTTTTAGAGAGAGTAGCTAATCCCATAATTGAGAGAAGAGCTCTCAATTTATAGTGGGATGGATTAAGGTTATCATTACTAAATCTATGAGTTGGTGGCATTATCTGTGCAAATCCTTCTTTATGTCACATTGCCCACCTTCTAGAGTGATTTATGAGATTTGGTGCAGGGATTGGACACGTGGAATCACTACAGCTTCTGGCTGATCTGGCGCGTACCCACTTTACTAACAGAAGTGTGTTGTTCCTGTCACCACACGACGTGACCGCTTCTAACTGGCTGCGGACCTACCTAAACTCTAACTTTTTTATGCTGATTGAGCATTGCGTTAGCCCTATATTTTCAGGCATAACAGAACCCATGTTAATTAAAATATCTGTAACAACTTTCCTTTCTCGAAAAAAAGTACAGGTAAACTTATTTCACAACAAAAAAAAAAAAAAAAAATCATGAGGATTTTGTACATTTTTTTGGGGCAAAACATTGAAATAAACCCTAAACCCTAAACCCTAAACTATGGGCAAAATTTAACTTAAAAAATAAGTGGGTCACAGTTTAACGCATGAATAAACAGTAAGCCTAAACCCTAAACCCTAAACCCTAAACCCTAAACCCTAAACCCTAAACCCTAAACCCTAAACCCTAAACCCTAAACCCTAAACCCTAAACCCTAAACCCTAAACCCTAAACCCTAAACCCTAAACCCTAAACCCTAAACCCTAAACCCTAAACCCTAAACCCTAAACCCTAAACCCTAAACCCTAAACCCTAAACCCTAAACCCTAAACCCTAAACCCTAAACCCTAAACCCTAAACCCTAAACCCTAAACCCTAAACCCTAAACCCTAAACCCTAAACCCTAAACCCTAAACCCTAAACCCTAAACCCTAAACCCTAAACCCTAAACCCTAAACCCTAAACCCTAAACCCTAAACCCTAAACCCTAAACCCTAAACCCTAAACCCTAAACCCTAAACCCTAAACCCTAAACCCTAAACCCTAAACCCTAAACCCTAAACCCTAAACCCTAAACCCTAAACCCTAAACCCTAANAAAAAAAAAAAAAAAAAGGTCGATAGATTAAGTCACATGCAAACAAGGTTTTTATATTAATATTTTTTTTTTTTCGGAATGTAAATCAACCTTTTGTTTTGAATGATTTTGATTCCAAAACGGGGACCAAAACTGATATTGTGGCAGCTGGACCAGAGATTTTACTTTGCTCTTTGTAAGAGCAAAAACGGAAGAAGAAGAAGAAGAAGAAGAAAAAAAAAAAGCAAGGAGGATTCGTTTTTTTTTTTTTTTTTCACTTGAGGTTTCAATTAAAGTTTATCTCTATTTGTGTTTGTAACGGACAAATTTTCACCAAGAATATCTGTGTCTGTCGGTGTAATGGACACGACACGGGAGTTTCATTTCATGTCTCATAATCCTAAAACACTTACTTTCTTTCTGGACCACTCAAATTTTTACATCTTCTTCTTCTTGTTGTCCTTCGATTTGGCATTTGTACAAACAGTTTCCTTACATTAATTCAGTCACTGTTTTTGATTCAGATGCATCCGATTTTACATCTTTTCAGACTTTGCCCCACTTCCCAGATAGTACTTTGTACAATTTCCTTTTTTCTTGATTAGCTTGGGCCAAACATATTACTTTCACCACGGGCCGGCCCGACCAAATATGGTTATATGAATAATACCTGTCTTTTTACTCGGATTTATCCATTGACTAGACTCATAAGAAAATGTATTAAAATCATTTTCGATTCCATTTTTATAATCAAACAATCAAGAACTCCCCTCATAAATCCTTTATTTTGAGAAATTATATTTCAATAAGCTCTACTTGAATAAATTGACCCAAACCAAACAGACCTATATTTGTTATTGGTTATTAGAGATGTCTAGAAAGTGAAGGAAGGATGGTGGGTAATTGGTAAAAAGCATTAGGTAAAGGGTATTGGCCTCTTCCAATAGAATGTGGGTTAAAAAAGGTAAAGGTAAAGAGGGTACCCCATATAACACGCAAAAGTCCAAAGAGAAAAATAAAAAAAAGAACCCTTACCAAGAGTAAAGAAATAGGTTCCATTGACAATCATACCATTGAAGAAGAAAAGGACTAATCTTTGCTTTATTAGGCAAAAGTTTGGCTTGAATCATGTTTCAAGTACCAATTACCAAACCCTCCATCTCACACCTACAACCAATACCAACCAACCTACCTTTCTTTTCTTTAATTAATTTTCACCTTCAAGATTGGTAAAGGCTTGTATTTCAACTTTGGGCCATTACTTTTCTCTCTTTTGGGCCTAGAGGGGAGACATAGAACTGTTGTTTCAAACCCATGGGCCATTACTTTTCTCTATTTTAGGCCTAGAGGGGAGATATACAAGCGTTGAATGAGATTGAATAACCGAACCAAGTCAACATTTTTGAAGATTAATTAATTTTGGGTCTCCAAAGTGATGCCCTCATCGTATTCCCAAATCAACTAATATATAACTTCTGCCTTATGAGCTTGGAATTAGAATAAGGGTTTGTTTGGTTGCTTGGAAATTTCTTATTTATATAGCGTATAGATAATCTTTCAACCTAGATCTTTGCTCAACCGAGAAGATAATATGACATGTTCTATTCTTTATTTAATAGAATACTAAAGCTCAGAAGAAAAATCCAAGCTGAATATGTTCTACCCCACATAACCACAAAAGTCTTTCAATGATAATGAATTTGTTTGTTCTCATTAATTTTTCTTGCGTATATGCTCGACTTGAATATTAGTATTGTTTGACTTTTATCAAATAATTTAAGTTTCCGAGTAACGTAGGCCTCAAGTTCAAATTTTTTTATCTCTTATTATTCTCAATTTTAGATCAATTATTAAACCAGAACTTCCGTCTAAGTTCATTCATTCACTTAAGTGAAACACATGAAATAGACTGATCAAAACATAACAAGAGATTGCTGAGTCAAACTGAGTATTGGCCGAAGGAACTTGGAAATTTCTCAAGCCCAACTGAAAGTAGACTTTAAATTGATTTAATCTTTCAAGTCTTTTTTTATTGTATCAAATCAAATAAATCCTGTTCAATCTTAGCCAGATTTAATTATATTAACTCATCTTCTACTCCAGTTAGACTAAAATTAAGCATATCAATGGCGCCAACATCTTCAATCCAATTCATAGATGCTGCACTTTCTTGTACAACTCCTTTTTCTCTATCCTACACAGACTCTGAGCAAAAATGGCTCATCCGAAAACACCTCATTTCATTTCTTCAAGATTACCCCACCTTCATTCCTTCAAACGATTCATTTACTCACAACGATGGCACCACAGTGAACCTTTTAAACGCCACTGGATATCTCCATGTCTCTTCTTCCACACCTCCTATTCACCTCACCATTTGGGTTCATGAAAGCTACCCTTTCATACCTCCCATGGTGTTTATTTCCTCAAACAACGCGAATCATCATCACCATAATCATCCTTTTGTTGATTCATGTGGAGGAATCGCCTCGGCTTATCTTCAAACTTGGTCTTACCCGGGACACAATTTGTCCGAACTTGTTCACAATCTTGTCAAAATCTTTTCTCACGATCATCCCTTCGCTAATTCTTCCCCCGGTCCTACTTTGTCTCACCCTTCTTTCGCTTCGAAACGGGAGGCTCTCGACCGCCTTTCGGCGATGCTTCACTACGATGCGGCGGCAGTGATGTCCAAGACAGCGGAAGAAATAGAGGAGCTATCGATATTACAAGTAGAAATGAAGAAGAGAGCCGGTGTTATTGAGAATATAGTTACTGAGCTGGAGATGGAAAGGAAGAAGCTGAAGGAGAGAGCGATGGAGTTGGGTGACAAAGCTGATGTGCTGAGGAGTTGGTTGGCCGCAAATGATCCGAAGTCGTTTGAAGTTATGAATGAAATTGAAGATGCATTTGAAGCGATTGGTGAGGGGTCGAAAATAGTGGTTGAAAAATTGGCTGCTGATAAAGCTGTAGAGGATGTGATATATGCATTGGATAAGGCACTTGAAGAAGAAGTTGTGAGCTTTGAGATTTATATTAGGCAGATTAGAATGTTGGCCAGAGAGCAATTCTTTCACAGAGATTTTTTGGTCAAATTAAAAGGTTGGGATATACGTATTTAGTCTCCTTTGGGTGGATTCATATCACCTATCTTTCCTTCTCATTGAGCTTCCAATTGAGTGAACTTTTATAAAGAGAGCACTAGTACAATATATATTATATATATATTTTTTTTTTCTTAAATGTCCTGAATAAATTTATCAGGACTATGCATATATCATCATCGGATTTGGGTTGTAAATTATCATTTTAATCTAATGTAATAAATTGAAAAGTGAATATATATGAGTTTGACAAAATTATATTAGAATTGTATTGACTGGAGAGTTATTATTATTATGAGAAGATTTGGGAGCACCATTTATTTGATACAAAATATGACATAATTTATAGCCATTGGATCAATGCACTTTGAGGTGTTTGAGATTCAATATACCTTGCATAATTAATGAACATAATGAATTCCTAAATTTAGATATAATCTCAGCCACTGAAACACATTAATCTAATGGTTTATTAATTGTGTTACAACTTGAGTAAGAGAAATGGTACTCTCAAACCTTCCTATATAATTAATAATAACAATAACAACAACAATAATAATAATTATCTAGTCAAGACATCCTAATATTAATTTATTAGGATTATGCATCTCTCTCTCTTTCTCTCTCTCTCTCTCTCTCTATATATATATATATAAACAAAGGCTGAGTGGGGGCTTATGCCCCCACAAGATTAAAAAAATAATATAGAGTAGATTAACAAAACAACCACTATATATCATAATTCCAAAATTGAAATTAATTTTTATTGTTCGTTTTTTACCAAGTTATATTCATTTATTATAAATGGTAATATTAATTTATGCCTCGTTTTTTATTTATTTAGTATGGTAGTTTTTTCATGTTTGAGTTTATTTTTCCCTTTTAATTTGCCCTCATGTAAAATCATATCAACGTACATTCAAACTAGAAACATGAAGTCGGTAGTAAAACATATAAAAATTCAAAGTTTGTAGAGTCGAAGCAAGAGTTTGGAGTTTAAAAATCCAAAGGAGAATACAAAACTAGATCATTGACTATTAAATAGAGCACCCCAATTGTCATCACACAAACAAGTCCGAACATTGAAAATATCACTAGAAATTCAACAACCACAGACTTGTTCAAACAAAGATTGAATAACTTAAAAACAATTTTCTAGTTAACACATTGATTTATGGTAAATTCTTAATTAAATATATAATAAGATTACAGACATTGAAATATTATAGAATGGAGGAGCTACTGATAAAATTAATGATGGCTAAAATAATTTTCCTTGTAAAAACCGAACCAAATGCAAGCTCAACCAGGTTCCCTTGTTTCACTATTTTAACACTATCCTATCATAAAAAATGTAAATTGTGTGTGTGTGTTTTTTTAATATTCTTCAAAATTCAATCACACTCTACTCAACTCAAAACATTAACAATTACCTTTTCAATAAAAGTTTTAAAATTAACAAAAACACCCTGCCCATCTAAGCCACTATCACCGCAAGCAGCCATCACTGTCGACGTTGTAACGAAGCACGACCGGCTGGATCTAACTGATCGTGTACCGATCTATCCATTTCCGGTCAGATCCACCATAGATTTGATCATTTTTGTCATAATCCATGATGGATCTTATTAGAAAATGCTAGATTAGCGCATGAATGACCAGTCGTGCACCATCCTGGTGATTTTCGACCACATTTGACAGTGGTGGTTGGTTGTCGACAATATTAGGTAGGTGAGGGTGTTTCTGTTAATTTATTTATTATAGGAGTGTTTAACTAAATTAACAAATATAGGGTGTTAACAAATAATCTAAATATTTTCAGAAAATATTTTTAAAAAATATATTAAACACAATCTCATAATCTTATCATATTTTAATACTATTTAAAAAAAAACTAAACAAACGCAGCCGTGACGTGCTTGAGTTTTTTATTGACCAAATGGCTTGCTACTGTTTTTGTGACATTTCATGGGCTGACCATGGGCCCATATTAGGCCCATTCTAACTTGAATCGGAGCTAATCACGGCCCCAATCTGGCCCAAATATGGACCTTTGTGACCAAGCCCAGCCCCTGTTAACTCCTTTTTGTTATAAAAAAATTCACTCATTAAAAGTCAAGCTTTGGACACAAGTTCTTTATAACACCGCAGATCGATCAATCAGATCATCACACGTGCCCACCGTAACCAAAGTATCGTTCCTCTCAACAAGACTCACACCGTATCATGAGTTAACTTTCGATAATACCCCTGCCACTTTCGTCGCTTTCTCTGGCTCCAAATTAATTGAAGGACCAAACCGTCATTTTATAGCGACATTCCGATTTTCTTTGTCTCTGCACCCTCGTTCGGGTTTGAAAAAAACCGTCCTCTGTTTCTTTCTCTGTAGATGCAAAAATCAAACCTTGCGGTTGCATGATTCTTAACGTGCACCAATCTTCATTGTTTCTCGAGATCTCATTCTTTGCCATTACCCTTCTGTCGTCAAATCCCACTTTGTTTCTTTTCTCATGATTGCTTTATTGTCCGTACAGTTTCTTATACAAGCTCCACGGTTTACCGCATTCGGGAGATAACTATTGGGCTCTGCTCTTTTTTTGAGTTATGGCGAATTTGAGTTGGGGTTTGGTTTTCTCGCTTCTTCTTTGCTTTTTCGCATCTGGGTCGCTCTCAATTGAGGATTTTCACCGAGCGTAAGTTTGATTTTAGTTCTGTGATCCTTATTTAGGGTATTAATGATTCATTTTATGGAATTTAAAGTTAATTTTAGATTCGTGTAAAGATTTATTTGGTTTTGGAGTTAAAAGTGAAAACTTTTGATCCGTTTTGTTATGTTTCAGTGATCTAGTTAGTACTTCGTACATTGTCTTTTTTTTTTTTCCGTAAAGTTAGTTGCTTTTTCTTTCATAAAGCAGCTGAGCAAATTTCTTACATAGGAAATTTGGAAGTAACAATCTTTTTTATTATTAGAAAGTTAATTTTTTGAAGTAATCTTGGAGGGCAATGGTGCAACTTGAGATTTCNTACAAAACTAGATAATTGACAATTAAATAGAGCACCCCAATTGTCAATTTGTCATCACACAATTTAATTCATTTAGACAAGTCCAAACTTTGAAAATATCACTAGAAATCCAACAACCACAGACTTGTTCAAACAAAGATTGAATAACTTAAATTTTTTAATTAAATATATAATAAGATTACAGACATTGAAATATTATAGAATGGAGGAGCTACTGATAAAGTTAATGATGGCTAAAATAATTTTCCTTGTAAAAACCGAACCAAATGCAAGCTCAACCCTTTAATACAACCAAATCGACCCACATGCATAATATTAATATAGGCCCAACTACTGATCTGCCTCATTCAGCCCTTCTACATTCCTCTTATGGTATGGATCTACAGTGGCACAACCCAACAACTGAAACCTATTGGCTGGAAAAAAAAAAAAAAAAAAAAATTCTCCTAAATACAATGGTATTCTATTCAACTTAAAACATTAATAATTATCTTTCCAATAAAAGTTTTAAAATTAATAAAAACATCCTCGCCCACCCAAGCCACTATCACTTGCCAGCAGCCACCACTGTCGTCGTCTACCAGCATCGTAACAATGCATAACTGGCTGGATCTGACCGGTCATGCGTTGATTTGTCCGGTTTCGACCAGATCCACCATGGATTTGGCTATTTTCGACATAATCCATGGTGGATCAAAGGCCAAATTGGCTCACGAATGGCCAGTCGTGCACCATCCCGATGACTTTCGGCCACACTTGACAGTGGTGGTTGTTTGTCGACAATTATTGGGTAGGTGAGGGTGTTTCTGTTAATTTATAAATTTTTATTGTAAGGGGTGTTTAGTTAAATTAACAAATGTAAGGTGTTAAAAAATAATCTAAATATTTTTAGAAATTGTTTTTAAAAAATATACCAAACACATTCTCAGGATCCTATTCTATTTGATTAAATACTATTCAGAATTTAATACTATTTAAAAAAACTAAACAAAGTAGCCCTCGGGCCCATATTAGGCCCATTCTCACTTGAATGGGAGCTGATCACGACCCCAATCTGGCCCAAATATTGACCTTAGTGACTAAGCCCAGCCCCTGTGAACTCCTTTTTGTCATAAAAAAAGTCACTCGTTAAAAGTCAAGCTTTGGACACAAGTTCTTTATAACACCGCAGATCGATCAATCAGATCATCACACGTGCCCACCGTAACCAAAGTATCGTTCCTCTCAACAAGACTCACACCGTATCATGAGTTAACTTTCGATAATACCCCTGCCACTTTCGTCGCTTTCTCTGGCTCCAAATTAATTGAAGGACCAAACCGTCATTTTATAGCGACATTCCGATTTTCTTTGTCTCTGCACCCTCGTTCGGGTTTGAAAAAAACCGTCCTCTGTTTCTTTCTCTGTAGATGCAAAAATCAAACCTTGCGGTTGCATGATTCTTAACGTGCACCAATCTTCATTGTTTCTCGAGATCTCATTCTTTGCCATTACCCTTCTGTCGTCAAATCCCACTTTGTTTCTTTTCTCATGATTGCTTTATTGTCCGTACAGTTTCTTATACAAGCTCCACGGTTTACCGCATTCGGGAGATAACTATTGGGCTCTGCTCGTTTTTTGAGTTATGGCGAATTTGAGTCGGGGTTTGGTTTTCTCGCTTCTTCTTTGCTTTTTCGCATCTGGGTCGCTCTCAATTGAGGATTTTCACCGAGCGTAAGTTTGATTTTAGTTCTGTGATCCTTATTTAGGGTATTAATGATTCATTTTATGGAATTTAAAGTTAATTTTAGATTCGTGTAAAGATTTATTTGGTTTTGGAGTTAAAAGTGAAAACTTTTGATCCGTTTTGTTATGTTTCAGTGATCTAGTTAGTACATTGTCTTTTTTTTTTTTCCGTAAAGTTAGTTGCTTTTTCTTTCATAAAGCAGCTGAGCAAATTTCTTACATAGGAAATTTGGAAGTAACAATCTTTTTTGTTACTAGAAAGTTAATTTTTTGAAGTAATCTTGGAGGGCAATGGTGCAACTTGAGATTTCCTACTCTGTGGTTTTAGTGGAGAGCGGGAGTGATTATAAGTTTGCAAACCTGTTCAGTACTTGGATAGAAATTATAATAGCCAAATATTTGGCCCACAGGCTCAGCTTAATCAAGTTTGGTAGTTATGTCATGAAGTGGAGAATTTGGTGTTTTCTCTCGAGGTGAAACTCTATGTAAGCTTGCTGGAATTGTTTGATTATAGATTACAGAAGAACTAAAAAGATTTAGTAGTTGTGTATAACGCTTCAATCATACTTCTTACTTTAGATGTTATTTTATTCTTCCCTCCGTTTTTAGAAAATAAATACAAAGACTTTAAATGTAAATATGTATCTTTACCGGAATTATTAACTGTCAGATTTTTTTTGTTTTTGGTTTGTTTGGTTGTTTTAGACAGTAAGTTAATAATTGTATTTTATTTCACTAAGGCTTGTCTTTACTTTTTTGCATTTAGGTTTCCTATTGTGGAACCTGATCCTGGTCATACAAAACTTCGTCTTTCAAGTGAAGGCTTGGAAGTCATCAGAAGAATAACAACCCCGATTGCTGCTGTTGCTGTAAGCCAGAGATGCATCTTCTTGAGCATCTAGTAGTAGTAATTTATTTTTCATTTTTTTAATCAAAAAACATCATTGGAATTTGCATTTTTTGTTATAAAATGATAAACAACAAAAGAAATAATTCTTCTTCTTTTAATTGAAAGCCTTCACATATTTTGATCAATTATTCCAGGATGGCTTTTTTTTTTTGGGAGACGTTATTGGCTACTAGGCACACACTAATTGTTTGCCCATGTATTGGATCCTTGTCATGCATTGTTAGATTGACGGAGCTATTTCATCAGTTTTGCATTATTCGTTTTCTGATGCATCTTTAATTTTTAATTAGTGGGTTTGTTTTTGGCAGTCCATTAAAAAATGGAACTCGGATCCAAAATATTTAAATTTTTATTATTATTATTATTATTATTATTAGTTTATTTATTTATTTTTACTTACCACTAAATCCATCCCACCCTCCCCTATGTAGAAAATACAAATTTAATTGTTCCTCTCCAAAGTTTTTAATCGGGGGATGCGATTTCTAGACCTGTTGCTCCTTTGGAAGAGCTCTAACCAACTAGGATATTCCTTTCTGGACTTAAACTTGTTTTTCAGCATCTGAAGGCTATTGTTAAAAGAGTTAAGAGATGAGTTACAATTGGAAAGGGTGATTGCATTCTAGATGTAGCTGAATCTGATACTTTAATTTTGTTACCAAAACAAGCGTGGGGCCTGAAATTGCAGTAAACGCAGTTTTGGGAATATTTTAGTAATTAAATTTGGAAAAAGCATCCTACACAGTTTTATGACAATTATTTCTTTCCAAAGGATATAATGTGACAATGTTTACCAATTTGTATGATGCTTTTGAGTGTAAAATATTGCTAGATGCTCGTTTAGCATGACTGCTATTGGCTGTCTCTAATGCCCACAGTAAGTTTGTACTTGTCATTAGAATATGCTATGAAGCAATTTTTTTCTTCTGTTTCTCCCTTTTTGACTCCATCTTGATGGTTGTATAATGCATATCCAGGTAATTGGCCCATACCGCTCCGGAAAATCTTTTCTGCTTAATCAGCTTCTTTCCCTTTCTTGTTATGAAGGTGTCTTTACTAGAATATACTTTTAGTTATTTTTTTTATGGAACTTATTTTGATTAATATGCACGTGGATTGAACTTGCTGCAAAATTGATGATCTTTGAATCAAATGTACTTGTCCTCCACAGGATTTGGTGTTGGGCACATGCGCGACACAAAAACAAAAGGTAATGTGACTGGACATGGCATCACAATAGCAGTGACTGTATGCATATTTAATATGTACAATATCTCTTTGCTTGTTGCAGGGATTTGGGTTTGGGGCTCTCCACTGGAGTTGGATATTGATGGCACGAAAACTTCTGTATTTTACCTTGATACTGAAGGATTTGAAAGTATTGGGAAGTCAAATGTGTATGATGACCGGTAAGTTCCAAGTCCTTGTGTAATCTTGAACTTGCCTCTGGTGATCGTAAATAATTTTGCATTTTGCTCCCTGTTGCAGGATTTTTGCTCTGGCTACTGTAATGAGTTCTGTCCTAATTTATAACCTGCCTGAGACGGTTAGTTACTCTGCCTGGAACTTTATTTAGTTTATTGGTGGTAATGCATTGATATGTCGTTATGGTAGGCAGCCTAGAGGAAAAGATAAAGCAAAAAACTCATTGAGGCAGAAGTCAGGACATTAGTATTAAGTGTTAAATTATACCTCTCAGGCAAACGTTAATACTATATGCTGGATTTGAGGTATCTATTGGTATGAAAATTAGACTCTTAGATATATAAGTTGATTTTTGTATATATAAGACCCTTCTAGGATTATGTATAGCGAGGTGCAGGTTGGATTTATGATTTCTGTAATGATCATATCTTTTAAGGATGGAAGAGTTGGATAATTCTTTTTCTAGATTATGCAGCTCATAAGATGTTGGGCAAAAATATGATTTTAATTGCGGATACTAGATGTTTTGTCTCAAACATGTGAGACATTATAGAGTACAAGAGACTGTGAGATTACTTTTCTTTATAAATATGCTAGATACTAGTTGAAAACTCGAGAAGACTTGGAATTCTTTCTCGAAAGAAGAAAAGGGAAATGCATGAAATTCTAACTTATTCTTGTTGGAGGTAAACTAGGGAGACTTATTAAATATGAGAATACTAACTTGTTTATATTTAATTGAACTAACGGCATGGTGGAGCTCTGGATGTGGTTCTGCTGGGGATGGGATCATTGCCTCAGAATTAGGATTTAAACTCGTATTCAGGGTTATGGTTTGTCTTTGAGACCATTCGCAGTTCCCTAAATTCAGTTGATTTTTCTGGTGATATATAGTTTTTTTTTTCCTGATTGCGCATTAGATCCGAGAAGCTGATATATCTCGACTTTCATTTGCTGTTGAGCTTGCTGAAGAATTCTATGGAAGGTCTGCATTTCTGTTATTTTCTGAACTCAACATGTTACTAAAATTTATCAGCTAGTTATGTAGTAACATTACTTTTAGAGCCCTACTTATATTACCGTACTAACTTGTTTAATGGTTTGCTTTATGGATATTTTACGGGGAGTAGAGTGAAGGTAATACACTAGCAACTTGGTTGAAATTCCTTTTGTATATTCTCTTACTTGAATCGTTGTTCCATTGATATGCACAATTGAATGGCTGTTTGAATGTTTTTGTAGGGACAAGATGTTGCTTTTGAGCCAGCAAAGCTTTTGTGGCTTATCCAGCGTGATTTTTTGCGTAAGTTAATACTTAATAGATGTCTTCCAAGGGTTTGAGTTCTTCGACTTGAGTTTAAGATTGCTTTCTTAAACTCAATGCAATGTGGCCATGCATGCTAGCAACCACCCTGCAAATTTTGTGGGGTAATATTATGAGGAGGATAGTACTAAAACATTATGTCATATGTGCTAAAAAGAAACTGTATTTAGATTTTGTGTTGATTCATATGCCACTTTTCTTTGGATCTCTTCGCCCTTTCTCCAAGCTTGTGGCAAAATGATGTAAAATAGATTTTTGTACTTTCAAATTCAGGATCTATTCTAACTGGGGTGTGACTCTTATTGTGGTATATATGCTGCATTTGTGCTATCAAGAGTGAACTGACATTCATTTTTTGGTGCTATACAGAAGGGAAGTCTGTGCAAGAAATGGTGCATGAAGCTCTTCGACGTGTCCCTAATGATAATGGTTTGTTTTCCTTTTCCCTGTATGCAGGAAAGACATTTTGTTTACATTCTCCTTGCTGCATTTTAGAGCAAAGCTTTGACGGAAAATTCTTTTTGTAATTGCAGGAGACAAAAATATTGATCAGGTACTTTTTCTAACTATTGTACTTTCATTTTTCTTTATGAATGACATATCATCTTTCTGGGATTATAAGTTCTCTCTTTTTGTTACTGTATCAGGTTAACCAGATCCGAGACTCTTTGGCTGTAATGGGTGATAATAGCACAGCCTTTAGCTTACCGCAAGTATGGATTTAATTTGTATCTTAAATAATCTCCCAAGTTTTTCCTCATATTCTGTATCTTATAATCGCTGTTCTTCTACAGGAAATCTGTTTATTGTATATGTTAAGTAACATGGATGGTTAAAGGACAATTGGATTTTAAACTTTTTAATTGTGTTCTCATTGTCCTAAAAGTTGTGAATAGTTCTGATGTAATGGGGTTGTGCACAGACACAGACACGGGATTTGGGTTCATGGGATGCATATATTTCTTGTTCGTATAATGATTTACTGCAGGTCCAGTTTTTTTGTTCGCATATGAAAGAGCTCTCAATGGCTTGTATAATCTTATAAACCCATGAATTTGAACTTGCAGCCTCATCTGATGCGAACAAAACTCTGTGACTTGAAGGATGAAGAGCTTGACCGAGCATATGTTAGAAAGAGAGAGCAATTGAAAAAGCTTGTTGCTAGTGTCATTCATCCAAAAATTGTTCAGGGCAAATTTCTGAATGGCAAGGAGTTTGTAGCATTTCTCGAACAGGTATCTTTATAGCTTCAGATCATCTTTAGTTTGAGAATTTGTTAAGCTTCTTAACATTGTCATCTCCGCATGAAACTCAATGATGATTTAAGTTGGAGCATTTGAAAATGAGTTTGTTTTAAACTTTCATGAATTAGCATCAGATTCACAATCTTATAGGGGCCAAGAAACAGGGCACAAAAGTAGAAACATGATGATGGAAGTGAGTTACTTAGATAACCCTGTTAGCAATTGAATGAATCCTTGGACTTAATGGCTTTGCTGTTATAATATTTTATTGATATTTTTTTTCTGGTTGGTAACAATCTGTAGTTACCTTCTTTATTTTGCCTTATTCTTCTAAATTCTTTTTGCTAATATGCATTTGCATTGTTCAACCTTCAGATACTTGAAGCCTTGAATAAAGGGGAGATCCCATCAACAGGCTCTCTTGTGGAGGTTTTCAACAAGGGTATTCTTGAGCGCTGTTTGAAGCTATATAATGAAAGGATGACGAAATTACGCTTACCTCTATCAGCTCAATCTTTGCAAGATGCCCACGAAAATTCTAAAATAGAAGTAATGAAGGTTTTTGATGAACAGCATTTCGGCCGTCATCACGCAAAGAAATCTGTCATGCAATTGGATGAAGAGATACGAGAGGTATTGGTTAAGCGTAATTAATGAAATACTTGTTTTGAGGAAGATGATTTGTGATCTGTACTTCTAGCTATCTAGAGTAAGGCATAGATAATTTTATAATTTATGCAATTGGTTAAAAGGCTTTGCAAAATTGTCAAATTGGTAGGGAGCTCGAATGAACAAGTTGTCAATATGAATTATACATTCTATTTATAACACTGGCCCTTTGAGCAAGTCTATTGGATTGTAGATAGTTTTATGCTATTGGACAACATGTGGCTTGTGATATGTCATGTATAAATTTGTAGTTGCAGCTAGAGGCTGTAGAAATCCGTGTCATATATTCTAGGAGCTGCAATGTATAGGACCATACATTTCAATACATTGAATATCTCACATGCTTTTCTCTGGAAACTTTCTGCAGGTGTATAAGAATTTCATTCTGTCAAATGAATATCTATCCTCAAAGCTTTGCGAGGGACTATATACCAGATGCGAGGACAAGATGGACCAGCTTCAAGTTCTCAAACTTCCATCCATGGCCAAATTTAATGCAGGTTTCCTGCAATGCAACCAAAGTTTTGATCGAGAGTGTGTTGGACCTTCAAAAGCAAACTATGAGCAGCGCATGATGAAGGTATGGAGTTAATTTGAGTTTAATGTTCTTTTTTTTTTCTTTTTTCTTTTTTTGAGCCTTTCAGACTGCACTTTGAGATTTCCCTGAACTTAAGCTGAAGTTATATTAAACATTACAAATATGATTGAATTATAACTTAAAATGAGAATAGAAATTTGAAATATATTTAGATGCTGATTCTTTGGAAGTGACCATCTAAATATAAGATTCGTTTCTTTTGCTGTATTGTTGAAGTTGTATTTTTTTTATCTAATTTGTTGGGGTTGCCTACTATGCTGAACTTGACATTTGTCAATTACTGTATGTATATCTGCAGATGTTGGGGAAGTCACGATCTCTATTTATCAAGGAATACAACCAGAGGCTTTTCAATTGGCTGGTGATCTTCTCCCTTGTCATGGTTGTGATTGGACGGTTTATTATAAAGTTTATTTTGATCGAAATGGGAGCATGGATACTATTTATCTTCTTAGAGACATACACAAGGTTGTTCTGGTCGGCAGAGTCTCTTTATTACAACCCAGTTTGGCATTTCATTGTTGCCACTTGGGAAACGCTTGTCTACAGCCCTATTATTGATTTGGACAGGTATAAGAACATTTCATTATTCCTCGTAACAAATTTGAAATAATTTTTATTGGCATTTGAATGACATGATAGGATGCAAATTCTCTTAGTTTTACATGTCAAAAAAGCAAAGCTGGGTGCAATTATTTTTATTTGGTTTATCACTCCGCATTTTGACCGGAACGAAAAAGGAAAGAAACCATTTTCTCTTCAAAGTTGTAAGAATGGTCAATATTTTCTAAACTCTAGGATGCTACAGGCTTGCATGCTATGTTTTGTATCAAGTTTTTCAGCTAAACATGAATGTGCTCATGTTGCCTCAGGCACTTAGTTACCACAAAGCAATTTGGATATTGGTATATTTTTTATGATAAGATATTAAACAATTATATTTTCTGATGGATGCATTATATTTCTCTCAATCTATCTTTCTTTTTCATTTATTTTCCTTTGCTTGAGACAGATGGGCGGTTCCAATCTGTTTTATGTTTGCTATATTTATACTTTATTGGCGGTGTTATGGGAAACGGAAACATGGTTCACGCGGACTTTTGCCTCTGTACAACAATAGTAGAGGTACCTCAAATCGGCCGAGATCAGACTGAAAGGACACATATTGACTCGGGGGAACAACGTGGGCGAGCTTTTCTCATTTTAGGTATGAAGCCTGCCGACCAATTCTTTTTTAATCTTATATCTTTTTCGTTCTCTCAATCTGTCAATCAATCTGGAATTTTGAAGGGGGTAAAGGATGATTTGATGATTGGCGTGGCGGTTCTTATAGTTTCTGTAACTGTAGAATTTACAGCATTTTTATTATTATTCAATGTAATATTTTGATTGTTTCAAATGCCATTTAAATATATTACAGGTTCAATTTCTCTATAAACAACAGAAAGAAATTCATAGTTGTATGATGTCTTCTTGCTGAGGAAAAAACAAAGCGAAAGGAAGACAAAAGAATAAAATAAATAAATAAATCGCAGTAGAGGTTATCATCTTATTGGCTGTTTAATCATTTTGATTTGAAATTTCCGGTATCGGTTAATAATTGACATATCATTTATCATATTATTTCATCGTAATTAGTTATATAATCATTTTTATAATTGCAATTTATTTGGATTTGTCATCATATTGATGTTTTTGTTGAAGTTATTAATTAGATTTCTGATTATGAAGACGGATGTTGAGTTTGAGGGTACTCGTTCAAAAAAAACAAAAAAAATCTTCTATACAATATAATGCGATAAATAATCAATGAGAGAGTAAATTATTCCACTCCCTTTGTCCAACCAAAAACAGGAAGAGGGATGTGAGATTTAAAGTTTGGACTTTGGAGGCGTAATGGGGTAACCTCTGCCGCATAATGAAACTTTTGGAAGGGCTTTTATTTTGCTAATGTGGCTCTTCTTGTTTTCTCTTTTTGTTTTATTTGTTGCGGTTACTTCCCTTTGTGAATTCTCTAATATCTCCTTTTCCAAACAACTAACCCGGTTTGAAAACAAAATTACATTTGGGAAAACACTTATTATTATTATTATTATTATTATTATAAAGATGCTAGTATGAGCAGGAATGGTATATCACCTTTGCTTTAATTAATAACAAGAAAGAAAAATAAAAATGAAGTTTTAAGATAACTTATCCATATCATTGTGATGACCTCGTTTGTCGTATCGAAAAATGACAATGTAGTAACACGACAAATAAGATTTTCTAGAATAGACAATTTTAAATACTCGAGTTGCAACAAGAGTTTACTTTTACATTATTAATTATAATACGACATATAGTTAGATTTAGTAGTTGTTGTATGCATTAAGATTATCTAAAACTTATTATGAAGATATCTTTCAATTTGCAACATTAAATTTTAGTTCTATACAATATCTAGTGTTCATCCAATTAGAAGTTTTAACACTAATTATTATAACTTAACTATATTATTTGTATTAGTTTCATTGACATGTTGTAATTAAGGCATCAACGAGTTACTCCCTCCGTTTTTTTTTTAAGTGTCGTTTTAAGGGTATCATTTTTTTTCAAAATAAGTGTCGCTTGTCTTGTCTGATCTTTACTCTCTACTTTTTTGCGATGGCCCACATCTCTTCTCTCTCTCTTTCTCCGCTCTACGTGTTTGCCTCAATCTTCTCTCTCTACTTTTTTGTATGCCCACGCCTCTTCTCTCTTTTTGTTTACATTAAAAAAATCAGTGTATAAAAAGGTGTGCAATTAGTTAAAGCGCCATTTATTTGGAAACGGAGGAAGTATTATATAACAATTTAGTATTTAGATGTTATAATAAAATAATAAAATATATGATAAATGAAATTCCAAAATACCATCCCAAATTCTTGTATGATTTTTTACTTAATTCTTTTATTGTTCAATACTTCAATCCACTAATTCTATAAAACCAATGTAGCGGTGGATTTGACAACTTATTACTTGGTTAATATAATTAAATTATATTAATTATATATTAAAAGTATTAATCCTTAATTGTCGGTCCGTGTAATTAAGAAATAAATTATAACATATTACTAGTAATAATATTTAAAATTAATCTTAAATCCGTCGATCGGTTGCCAAAATATATTTATTATACTTTTATATAAGCATATCTTTATTATAAACTAATTGCATGTTAGATAATTTAATATATGACATTTGAATGATAATATTTTTAAAATATTCATTTGTGTAAAACATTTCTAGTTGGAATAACACCTAATAAAATAATTTTTATTGATATTTTTTTTCTGGTTGGTAACAATCTGTAGTTACCTTCATTATTTGCCTTATCTTCTAATTCTTTTTGCTAATATGCATTTGCATTGTTCAACCTTCAGATACTTGAAGCCTTGATAAAGGGGAGATCCCATCAACAGGCTCTCTTGTGGAGGTTTTCAACAAGGGTATTCTTGAGCGCTGTTTGAAGCTATATATGAAAGGATGACGAAATACGCTTACCACTATCAGCTCAATCTTTGCAAGATGCCCACAATAATTCAAAATGAAGTAATGAAAGCTTTGATACAGCATTTCGGCCGTCATCACGCAAAGAAATCTGTCATGCAATTGATGAAGAGATACGAGAGGTATTGGTTAAGCGTAATTAATGAAATACTTGTTTTGAGGAAGATGATTTGTGATCTGTACTTCTATCTATCTAGAGTAAGGCATAGATAATTTTATAATTTATGCAATTGGTTAAAAGGCTTTGCAAAATTGTCAAATTGGTAGGGAGCTCGAATGCAAGTTGTCAAAATGATTATACATTCTATTTATAACACTGGCCCTTTGAGCAAGTCTATTGATTGTAGATAGTTTTTATGCTATTGGACAACATGTGGCTTGTGATATGTCATGTATAAATTTGTATTGCAGCTAGAGGCTGTAGAAATCCGTGTCATATATTCTAGGAGCTGCAATGTTAGGACCATACATTTCAATACATTGAATATCTCACATGCTTTTCTCTGGAAACTTTCTGCAGGTGTATAAGAATTTCATTCTGTCAAATGAATATCTATCCTCAAAGCTTTGCGAGGGACTATACCAGATGCGAGGACAAGATGGACCAGCTTCAAGTTCTCAAACTTCCATCCATGGCCAATTTAATGCAGGTTTCCTGCAATGCAACCAGTTTTGATCGAGAGTGTGTTGGACCTTCAAAAGCAAACTATGAGCAGCGCTGATGAAGGTATGGTAATTTGAGTTTAATGTTCTTTTTTTTTTCTTTTTTTCTTTTTTTGAGCCTTTCAGACTGCACTTTGAGATTTCCCTGAACTTAAGCTGAAGTTATATTAAACATTACAAATATGATTGAATTAACTTAAAATGAGAATAGAAATTTGAAATATTTGATGCTGATTCTTTGGAAGTGACCATCTAAATATAGATTCGTTTCTTTTGCTGTATTGTTGAAGTTGTTTTTTTTTATCTAATTTGTTGGGGTTGCCTACTATGCTGAACTTGACATTTGTCATTCTGTATGTATATCTGCAGATGTTGGGAAGTCACGATCTCTATTTATCAAGGAATACAACCAGAGCTTTTCAATTGGCTGGTGTCTTCTCCCTTTTCATGGTTGTGATTGGACGGTTTATTATAAAGTTTATTTTGATCGAATGGGAGCATGGATACTATTTATCTTCTTGAGACATCACACAGGTTGTTCTGGTCGGCAGAGTCTCTTTATTACAACCAGTTTGGCATTTCATTGTTGCCACTTGGGAAACACTTGTCTACAGCCCTATTATTGATTTGGACAGGTATAAGAACATTTCATTATTCCTCGTAACAAATTTGAAATAATTTTTATTGGTATTTGAATGACATGATAGGATGCAAATTCTCTTAGTTTTACATGTCAAAAAGCAAAGCTGGGTCAATTATTTTTATTTGGTTTATCAGTCTGCATTTTGACCGGAACGAAAAAGGAAAAGAACCTTTTCTCTTCAAAGTTGTGAGAATGGTCAATATTTTCTAAACTCTAGATGCTACAGGCTTGCATGCTACTTAGATATATAAGTTGATTTTTGTATATATAAGACCCTTCTAGGATTATGTATAGCGAGGTGCAGGTTGGATTTATGATTTCTGTAATGATCATATCTTTTAAGGATGGAAGAGTTGGATAATTCTTTTTCTAGATTATGCAGCTCATAAGATGTTGGGCAAAAATATGATTTTAATTGCGGATACTAGATGTTTTGTCTCAAACATGTGAGACATTATAGAGTACAAGAGACTGTGAGATTACTTTTCTTTATAAATATGCTAGATACTAGTTGAAAACTCGAGAAGACTTGGAATTCTTTCTCGAAAGAAGAAAAGGGAAATGCATGAAATTCTAACTTATTCTTGTTGGAGGTAAACTAGGGAGACTTATTAAATATGAGAATACTAACTTGTTTATATTTAATTGAACTAACGGCATGGTGGAGCTCTGGATGTGGTTCTGCTGGGGATGGGATCATTGCCTCAGAATTAGGATTTAAACTCGTATTCAGGGTTATGGTTTGTCTTTGAGACCATTCGCAGTTCCCTAAATTCAGTTGATTTTTCTGGTGATATATAGTTTTTTTTTTCCTGATTGCGCATTAGATCCGAGAAGCTGATATATCTCGACTTTCATTTGCTGTTGAGCTTGCTGAAGAATTCTATGGAAGGTCTGCATTTCTGTTATTTTCTGAACTCAACATGTTACTAAAATTTATCAGCTAGTTATGTAGTAACATTACTTTTAGAGCCCTACTTATATTACCGTACTAACTTGTTTAATGGTTTGCTTTATGGATATTTTACGGGGAGTAGAGTGAAGGTAATACACTAGCAACTTGGTTGAAATTCCTTTTGTATATTCTCTTACTTGAATCGTTGTTCCATTGATATGCACAATTGAATGGCTGTTTGAATGTTTTTGTAGGGACAAGATGTTGCTTTTGAGCCAGCAAAGCTTTTGTGGCTTATCCAGCGTGATTTTTTGCGTAAGTTAATACTTAATAGATGTCTTCCAAGGGTTTGAGTTCTTCGACTTGAGTTTAAGATTGCTTTCTTAAACTCAATGCAATGTGGCCATGCATGCTAGCAACCACCCTGCAAATTTTGTGGGGTAATATTATGAGGAGGATAGTACTAAAACATTATGTCATATGTGCTAAAAAGAAACTGTATTTAGATTTTGTGTTGATTCATATGCCACTTTTCTTTGGATCTCTTCGCCCTTTCTCCAAGCTTGTGGCAAAATGATGTAAAATAGATTTTTGTACTTTCAAATTCAGGATCTATTCTAACTGGGGTGTGACTCTTATTGTGGTATATATGCTGCATTTGTGCTATCAAGAGTGAACTGACATTCATTTTTTGGTGCTATACAGAAGGGAAGTCTGTGCAAGAAATGGTGCATGAAGCTCTTCGACGTGTCCCTAATGATAATGGTTTGTTTTCCTTTTCCCTGTATGCAGGAAAGACATTTTGTTTACATTCTCCTTGCTGCATTTTAGAGCAAAGCTTTGACGGAAAATTCTTTTTGTAATTGCAGGAGACAAAAATATTGATCAGGTACTTTTTCTAACTATTGTACTTTCATTTTTCTTTATGAATGACATATCATCTTTCTGGGATTATAAGTTCTCTCTTTTTGTTACTGTATCAGGTTAACCAGATCCGAGACTCTTTGGCTGTAATGGGTGATAATAGCACAGCCTTTAGCTTACCGCAAGTATGGATTTAATTTGTATCTTAAATAATCTCCCAAGTTTTTCCTCATATTCTGTATCTTATAATCGCTGTTCTTCTACAGGAAATCTGTTTATTGTATATGTTAAGTAACATGGATGGTTAAAGGACAATTGGATTTTAAACTTTTTAATTGTGTTCTCATTGTCCTAAAAGTTGTGAATAGTTCTGATGTAATGGGGTTGTGCACAGACACAGACACGGGATTTGGGTTCATGGGATGCATATATTTCTTGTTCGTATAATGATTTACTGCAGGTCCAGTTTTTTTGTTCGCATATGAAAGAGCTCTCAATGGCTTGTATAATCTTATAAACCCATGAATTTGAACTTGCAGCCTCATCTGATGCGAACAAAACTCTGTGACTTGAAGGATGAAGAGCTTGACCGAGCATATGTTAGAAAGAGAGAGCAATTGAAAAAGCTTGTTGCTAGTGTCATTCATCCAAAAATTGTTCAGGGCAAATTTCTGAATGGCAAGGAGTTTGTAGCATTTCTCGAACAGGTATCTTTATAGCTTCAGATCATCTTTAGTTTGAGAATTTGTTAAGCTTCTTAACATTGTCATCTCCGCATGAAACTCAATGATGATTTAAGTTGGAGCATTTGAAAATGAGTTTGTTTTAAACTTTCATGAATTAGCATCAGATTCACAATCTTATAGGGGCCAAGAAACAGGGCACAAAAGTAGAAACATGATGATGGAAGTGAGTTACTTAGATAACCCTGTTAGCAATTGAATGAGTTCTTGGACTTAATGGCTTTGCTGTTATAATATTTTATTGATATTTTTTTTCTGGTTGGTAACAATCTGTAGTTACCTTCGTTATTTTGCCTTATTCTTCTAAATTCTTTTTGCTAATATGCATTTGCATTGTTCAACCTTCAGATACTTGAAGCCTTGAATAAAGGGGAGATCCCATCAACAGGCTCTCTTGTGGAGGTTTTCAACAAGGGTATTCTTGAGCGCTGTTTGAAGCTATATAATGAAAGGATGACGAAATTACGCTTACCTCTATCAGCTCAATCTTTGCAAGATGCCCACGAAAATTCTAAAATAGAAGTAATGAAGGTTTTTGATGAACAGCATTTCGGCCGTCATCACGCAAAGAAATCTGTCATGCAATTGGATGAAGAGATACGAGAGGTATTGGTTAAGCGTAATTAATGAAATACTTGTTTTGAGGAAGATGATTTGTGATCTGTACTTCTAGCTATCTAGAGTAAGGCATAGATAATTTTATAATTTATGCAATTGGTTAAAAGGCTTTGCAAAATTGTCAAATTGGTAGGGAGCTCGAATGAACAAGTTGTCAATATGAATTATACATTCTATTTATAACACTGGCCCTTTGAGCAAGTCTATTGGATTGTAGATAGTTTCATGCTATTGGACAACATGTGGCTTGTGATATGTCATGTATAAATTTGTAGTTGCAGCTAGAGGCTGTAGAAATCCATGTCATATATTCTAGGAGCTGCAATGTATAGGACCATACATTTCAATACATTGAATATCTCACATGCTTTTCTCTGGAAACTTTGTGCAGGTGTATAAGAATTTCATTCTGTCAAATGAATATCTATCCTCAAAGCTTTGCGAGGGACTATATACCAGATGCGAGGACAAGATGGACCAGCTTCAAGTTCTCAAACTTCCATCCATGGCCAAATTTAATGCAGGTTTCCTGCAATGCAACCAAAGTTTTGATCGAGAGTGTGTTGGACCTTCAAAAGCAAACTACGAGCAGCGCATGATGAAGGTATGGAGTTAATTTGAGTTTAATGTTCTTTTTTTTTTCTTTTTTCTTTTTTTGAGCCTTTCAGACTGCACTTTGAGATTTCCCTGAACTTAAGCTGAAGTTATATTAAACATTACAAATATGATTGAATTATAACTTAAAATGAGAATAGAAATTTGAAATATATTTAGATGCTGATTCTTTGGAAGTGACCATCCAAATATAAGATTCGTTTCTTTTGCTATATTGTTGAAGTTGTATTTTTTTTATCTAATTTGTTGGGGTTGCCTACTATGCTGAACTTGACATTTGTCAATTACTGTATGTATATCTGCAGATGTTGGGGAAGTCACGATCTCTATTTATCAAGGAATACAACCAGAGGCTTTTCAATTGGCTGGTGATCTTCTCCCTTGTCATGGTTGTGATTGGACGGTTTATTATAAAGTTTATTTTGATCGAAATGGGAGCATGGATACTATTTATCTTCTTAGAGACATACACAAGGTTGTTCTGGTCGGCAGAGTCTCTTTATTACAACCCAGTTTGGCATTTCATTGTTGCCACTTGGGAAACTCTTGTCTACAGCCCTATTATTGATTTGGACAGGTATAAGAACATTTCATTATTCCTCGTAACAAATTTGAAATAATTTTTATTGGCATTTGAATGACATGATAGGATGCAAATTCTCTTAGTTTTACATGTCAAAAAAGCAAAGCTGGGTGCAATTATTTTTATTTGGTTTATCACTCCGCATTTTGACCGGAACGAAAAAGGAAAGAAACCATTTTCTCTTCAAAGTTGTAAGAATGGTCAATATTTTCTAAACTCTAGGATGCTACAGGCTTGCATGCTATGTTTTGTATCAAGTTTTTCAGCTAAACATGAATGTGCTCATGTTGCCTCAGGCACTTAGTTACCACAAAGCAATTTGGATATTGGTATATTTTTTATGATAAGATATTAAACAATTATATTTTCTGATGGATGCATTATATTTCTCTCAATCTATCTTTCTTTTTCATTTATTTTCCTTTGCTTGAGACAGATGGGCGGTTCCAATCTGTTTTATGTTTGCTATATTTATACTTTATTGGCGGTGTTATGGGAAACGGAAACATGGTTCACGCGGACTTTTGCCTCTGTACAACAATAGTAGAGGTACCTCAAATCGGCCGAGATCAGACTGAAAGGACACATATTGACTCGGGGGAACAACGTGGGCGAGCTTTTCTCATTTTAGGTATGAAGCCTGCCGACCAATTCTTTTTTAATCTTATATCTTTTTCGTTCTCTCAATCTGTCAATCAATCTGGAATTTTGAAGGGGGTAAAGGATGATTTGATGATTGTCGTGGCGGTTCTTATAGTTTCTGTAACTGTAGAATTTACAGCATTTTTATTATTATTCAATGTAATATTTTGATTGTTTCAAATGCCATTTAAATATATTACAGGTTCAATTTCTCTATAAACAACAGAAAGAAATTCATAGTTGTATGATGTCTTCTTGCTGAGGAAAAAACAAAGCGAAAGGAAGACAAAAGAATAAAAATAAATAAATAAATCGCAGTAGAGGTTATCATCTTATTGGCTGTTTAATCATTTTGATTTGAAATTTCCGATATCGGTTCATAATTGACATATCATTTATCATATTATTTCATCATAATTAGTTATATAATCATTTTTATAATTGCAATTTATTTGGATTTGTCATCGTATCGATGTTTTTGTTGAAGTTATTAATTGGATTTCTGATTAAAAATGAAGTTTTAAGATAACTTATCAGTATCCTCGCGATGAACTAGTTTGTCGTATCGAAAAATGACAATGTAGTAATACGACAAATAAGAATTTTTAGAATGGACAAAATTTTAAATACTCGAGTTGCGACAAGAGTTTACTTTTACATTATTAATTATAATACGACATGTAGTTAGATTTAGTAGTTGTTGTTACTTGTATGCATTAAGATTATCCAAAACTCATTATGAAGGTATCTTTCAAGATGCAACATTAAATCTTATTTCTATACAATATTTAGTGTCCATCCAATTAGAAGTTTTAACACTAATTATTATAACTTAATTATATTATTTGTATTAGTTTCATTGACATGTTGTAATTAAGGCATCAAGCGAGTTATTATATATCTGTTTAGTATTTAGATGTTATAATAAAATAATAAAATATATGATAAATGAAATTCCAAAATACCATCCCAAATTCTTGTATGATTTTTTACTTAATTCTTTTATTGTTCAATACCAATGTAGTGGTGGATTTGACAACTTACTAGTTGGTTAATATAATTTAATTATATTAATTATACATTAAAAATATTAATCCTTAATTGTCGGTCCGTATAATTAAGAAATTAATTATAAAATATTACTAGTAATAATATTTAAAATTAATTATAAATCCGTCAATCGGTTGCCAAAATATATTTATTATACTTTTATATAAGTATATCTTCATTATAAACTAATTGCATGTTGGATACTTTAATATATGACATTTGAATGATAATATTTTTAAAATATTCATTTGTGTAAAACATTTCTAGTTGGAATAACACCTAATAAAATATAGTGATGAACTAGATTAATCTTAGAAAATGGATATCGACTTTAAATTTACATTTAATTATGTTAAATTAACTACATCTTTTATTAATATGACTATTTTATGTACGTATTGTACATTAAATTCAATCACAATAGATATTATATATTTTTATCTTGTCGTGAGTAAAAAAATATATAATATTTGATTGTCTCATACTTGAAAGTACGTAGTGATTTAAAAGTGTAAAATAATATATTCTAATTATGAGAGGTTTACTATTATTTTATTTTTTAATTTCGGTTTATTAATCCTTGCACTATGATTTAGTAAAACTGTAAAAGTAAATTAAAAGCTAATGGATTGTGCATTTCGGACAAGCAAAAATTGATCCCTCCCGCGCTCTTCGTTTCATTCGAATCAGAATCAAATCCCACGCGCAACCAAACACACTCTCGCTGCGTACATCGGATACTTGATGGTTGACACTTCCTGACACGTGGGTCCCACTCCAATGTATTGAAGAATTACACTCGAGCAAGAGCAAGCGCGTTAATTCAACCACAAATCTTCAAAAGGTACCCTTAAACCCTAACGCGGCTGTGTAAGACCGTCACATTGAAATCTGATTTTTTTTTTTTTTTAATGAAATTATCATTTTAGCCTCATCTTCTTCATAATTACCCATTGAACCTACAACACTGCCAACGGCTCACAACTCTACAACTCCACTCCACTCCACTCCACTACCACTACCAATCCATCAAAATCAAAAGAAAAAGTCCCACATGAACAATTAAACGATTGTTAATACTCACAAAAATAAAAATAAAAAGAGACAAAACCCATCTTAAAACCAAATACCCAAGACAAAAAAACTCATTGGTGGGTTGGGTTCAAAAAAAAATTATTTAATTAACTAGAGAGGTTGAGTTTAATTGGTATTTTATTAATTTTAGCTGGGGTGGGTTCATTACCGTTAAAAGTTTAACAGCGTTAGGGTTAGAGAGTATTTTTGACAATTTTCCTTGAAAGTACAAAAAGTTTAATTATTAGTAAAACGTTAGGGTAGTTTGTGAAAATCTCCATATCTGGAAACAAATATGTCCTCGGCCACCTGTTCACTTCGAACAGCGCGTGTCATTTAAAGAGATCATAATTCCATCATTCGCAAACAGAAAAACATATACTACATCCCACCAATAGATTCCTAGAATGCAATACAATTGGACACGTGGGAAGATTCTATTGGGTTTTAGTAACTACTTTCTATATGTTTTAGTACAGAAAATCTGTAAAGTTGCATGAATGGTAACCTTAGCATGTGTCGTTTATCAATTCAGTACTCACTGAAACCAATTAAGCATATATAATAAATATAAATTGCCAAACACTACTTCATTTCTTTTTAGATTATCCTCACTGCTTCATCATCATCATCAGGTATTCGTGTACTTCTAGGGTTTGGTTTCGTTTTCTGATCAATGGTCTTCCACAAAGCTTTTTCTTTGCTTGTTTTTGTAATCTGTGTTCCAGTTTTTATGATATTTATTTGATTGGGTTTATAGTACTGATGATAAATAAGTGGAATTTTATCTAGATTTTACAGATCTTAATCTGAAAATGAGTGACACTCAAGAAGTTATCAGCCTGCCTAGATCAGGTATATTTATATATCTTGATGAACTCATTTACAAGGTTTCTTTTACATGGTATTTCTCATGGTTGATTAAGTTCAAATCATGAGTAAGAGTTTGTTGTTAAGTGTATTTGGTTTATAAAATTTAAATCATTTTATGTGGGACTAATTCGAAACCAAAGATAATTGGTTTTGTTTTATACATACGATGTATACAATATATAAGAATTTTGATTGTAGGTGAAAAGATCTTTCAAAAAATGACTTAATTTTTTTTATTATTCATAAATAATTAATAAACAAAACAAGATCTATCCGGGACATATATAGAGAAGAGTATTTTCATTATCTCTGTACGTAAATTTAGACAGTGTCTCATTACATTTTTGTGAGAGCTCCTTAATTTGATCACAAAAAACTATCGATTATATATAAAAAAAATTTGATTTATTGATTGGTATATCTATAAGAAAGAGCAAGGAAAATTAAGGTACCAGTTTCTGAAGAATTAATCAAAGATTGGTTCTGAGAGTCAAGTTCATCAGTTTTTTAATTATTTTTTTAATTTTTTTTTTTCTTTTTTTTTTTTTTGTTATTTATGTTTGTTACTAATAAGCTTTCGATGAAACAGAAGAATTTAGTGACACAGGTTCATCAAATGAAGTGGTTAGCACCCTGAACCATGTAAGTTTTTTCATTTAATCAACATTAATCTCACCATGTCTAATTACTGTTGATGTTAGGGTTGATTAAGTAGTTAAATAGTGCGAAGTATGAAAAAAGAAACACTTATAATTATATATTTTCAGGATAACAAAAATGAGGAGCAGGTGGCTACCCAAGAAAGAAGATGGATAGGAACAATTGTAACAAAAATATTTGATGGTCATACAGTTATGGGTGAAGTTATTGCTTATGACAAAGAAATCAGAAAGTTCAAGGTTTGAGTTCCTCTCTAATATTTTTCTTATGATCTTGTGTCTTTATAGTTACAAACTAATTTAGTTCACAAGTTTCTAGTTACGTGATTTCAATATATATATATATACGCGCACACGAGAGATCGATCTTAAAATAAAATTAATGTCATTTACGTATTAGGGTTAAAGTTAGGTGTACGTACGTAAGAGATCGATATATATGCTAACATTTTAACAATAATTAGTAATGCATATAATTAATTTATTGCATCTTAATTAGAGTTCCTTAATTTGTAATTCAATGCTATAATATAGGTCATGTTGTATATGATATTTTTTTATTTTTTTTTTACACAGATTGTTTATGAAGATGACAAACGGGAGAAAGTTTGTGAAGATGAACTACTCTCACTTGCAGCGCCCCCTCAGATGGTTCGTGAATATCTTGATCATGTTGAGCTCAACAGGTAAAGATTGGAGATAATTTATATCTGAATCTGTAGGAATTTGAAATGATCATGCATGTAGTGTCGAAGCTAGGAGAAAGGGGAAAATATGATGGTGAGACTGCGATGCAATTTGTGAAGTAATAAAGTCTGTTCTTTGACATTTTTTTCTGTGTCAGTATAAATGTCATTGGAATTAGACCTTTTTCTTGTGGTTTGTATGTTCAACAAATTAATAAGAGGGGGAACACATGAATCATTAAAAATGAATATAGAATGTTGCATTTACATATATATGTAAAGTATTTTGTGCATGAATTTATGTATTGTTCATCCTTTTACCATGCATTTACGTTAGTTTATATATGTATACATCTCTGAACTCGGCAGCTTGTATGCAAAACATGTACAATTTCAGGAGCAATGAGAAGAAGAAGAAGAAAGGAACGTCTAAAGCAACAAAAACATCAAGTCTGAAAATACGTATACCAATCAACTCAAACCAGCCAAAAGCCAAAGAAGAAGTGAAAGGCAAGAGAACTCGAAAAGCAGCCCAGAATCCATCTACCTATATACCATTGGCCATCAGAGAGAACAAGAGAGATGCCTATATCTGGTACTACTAGTCATGGCCTAGTAGATCATCTCCAAATAATTGGTTAGTGTTTTATATATATTTCTTGCTGATTCATATAGTTACGGCTTATAATATTAAGTTATGTTGGTTTGTGTGTTTCATGGCTGCTGGTAATTTTTTTTTTCTTTGTAAATATCTAGGTTGGACCAAAAAGCTACAAGCATAGTTCAATAAAAGGACGATGAGTAATTGAAGTGGGTGGGAGAGGGTGAAACCAGCTATGGTTGCCAATGTTTGGTTCATTTTCTCATGAAACACTTTGTTTTGAATTGTGGACTTGAACGTCAGATTTTCTTTCATGCAAACAGATTATTTGTGATTGGTATTTTCTGGGATGTGATGGGTCCTACATCTTATTTTCTAGCAAGTTTTATTGG